GAACCAAACCCATGATATCTCTAAGGTACACTGCATACATTTTACAAATATCTTACAATAGTCCTGTATCCAGAATGTATAAAGACTCTACGAATTGATACGAAAAAGCCAAACAAGTCAATAAAAAACACGCAAAAGACTTTCATAGGTATCCTCCTCATAAGGAGGATATCTAAATGAACAATCAGTAAGTGAAGAAGTATTCAATATCATCACTAATCAGGGCAATAAAATAAAATCTGCAGTCAGCTACCAGTACATATCCACCGGAATCACTAAGCCTTTTTATTCTGAAAAAACTAAGAGTTGGTGAGGATATGGGAAAACTGTAATTTTGTACATGATTGAAGGAAGAGTGACCGGCTATAACAAAATATGGCAAATTTTCTGGCAGTATACTAAAGCTATCACCATGAGGCAACAATCCCACTCCTAGGTATGTGTGTGTATACATCCAAAAATAAATGAGTGTATAAGTCTTCCAAAAAACATATATTAGAAGTTCATAGTAATTTTATTCCTAATATCCCCAAACCAAACAACTCAAATGTCCAAGAGAAGAATTAATTAAAAATTTGATAATAAAAATGCAATACCACCTAGAAATAAAAAGGAATGGACTGATGCATGTAACAACATCTTCAGACATGATGCTAATTAAAAGAATCTGGATTTTAAAAGGATACATACAGTATCATTCCATTTATGATAAGTTTCATGAACAAAGATAATTGATGTTAGATGTCAGAATGACGGGTACCTTAAGTTGGGGGTTGGGTGGGAATAAGGGAAGCACCATGTGGAATCCTGAGAATACCAGAAGTATTCTGTATCTTGAGGTGGGTATGGATACACAGATGTGCACACATGTAAAACTTTATTGAGCTATTAACTTAAGATTAGTATGCATTACTGTGCATGTTATATGTCAACTAAAACACAGAAAGAAAGGAAAAAATGATACGTAACGTAAGTAAAAACAGCTAAGTTGAACTACCTCAAATTTAAAAACGTCTGTGCATCAAACAGAATAAAAAGGCAACCTATGGAATGGGAGAAAATCTTGCAATCATATATTTGATAAGAAGTTGATATCCAGAATATTTAAGGAACTTCTACAACTCAACAACAAAAAATAACCTGATTATAAAATGGGCAAAGGACTTACATAGACATTTCTCCAAAGAAGATACACAAATGGCAATACACACATGAAAAGATGCTTAACATCACCGATCATCAGGGAAATGCAAATTAAAACCATAATGAGAATACCACTTCACACCAATCAGGATGGCTATAATCAAAAAAAGCAAAAAAAAAAAAAAAACCAACTGGAACACTGGTACACTGCTGATAGGAATGAAAAATAGTGTAGCCACTATGGGAAATAGCATGGTGGTTCCTCAAAAAATTACAAACAGAATTACCATAAGATCCAGCAATTCTACTTGTAGTTATATATCCAAAGGAATTGAAAGCAGGGACTTGAAGAGGTATTTGTACACCCATGTTCACAGCAGAATTATTCACAATAGCCAAAAGGTGGAGCAACCCAAATGTTCATTGATGGATGAATGGTTAAACAAATGTGGTATATACGTACAATGGAATATATGTATATATTAAAAATGAAAGAAATTCTGACACAAACTGTAACACTGATGAACCTTGAGTACATTATGCTAAGTGAAATAAGCCAGTCACAAAAAGACAGTATTGTATGATTTCACTACTGTGAAGTATCTAGAGAGCAGTCAAATTCATGAAGTCAGCAAGTAGAATGGTGGTTGCAGATGCTAGAGGAAGAGGGAAATGGGGAGTTGTTTAATGTGTATAGAGTTGCAGTTTTGCCAGATAAAAAAAGTTCTGGAAATTGGATGCATGACAATGTGAATATACTTAGCACTACTGAACTGTACACTTAAAAATGGCTAAGATGCTAAATTTTATATTATATACATTTTACCAAAATTTTAAAAAGAAAAATGATAAAGAGATAGAAAAAAATGCCAGAATGAAGAGTAAAAGGATAATAAAAAACATGTAACTAATAATAGATTGCGAAAATGCAATAAGCAAAAATTAATTACTTTCTTATATCCAGCAATAATTTGGTAGAAAAATATACTGAGAAAAGGTTCTTTTTTTTTTTTTTTTTGAGACTGAGTCTCACTCTTTTGCCCGGGCTAGAGTGAGCGCCGTGGCGTCAGCCTAGCTCACAGCAACCTCAAACTCCTGGGCTTAAGCGATCCTCCTGCCTCAGCCTCCCGAGTACCTGGGACTACAGGCATGTGCCACCATGCCCAGCTAATTTTTTTCTATATATTTTTAGTTGTCCGATTAATTTTCTTTCTATTTTTACTAGAGACGGGGTCTCGCTCTTGCTGGTTTCGAACTCCTGAGCTCAAACAATCCGCCCGCCTCGGCCTCCCAGAGTGCTAGGATTACAGGCGTGAGCCACCGCGCCCGGCCTAGAGAAAAGGTTCTTAATCCTAATAAATAACAGAAAAAGCATAATATATCATGAATAAAATTCAGCAAGAAAAACCATGTATGAGTATGAATAAAATTATCAAAAATTACTGAAAAACATAAAATAATATTTAGGTACAAGGAGAAATATAACATATTCCTAAAATATAAAATTTAATATGGGCAAGAAATGTCAACTCTTCTCAAATTAATCTTTAGAACAATTCCAACAAAATGTCGATGTAATATTTTTAAGGAGCTTTAAGACTACTTCACAAAGAAGGTAGAAAGGTAGAGTCACACTTAAGAGTTCAGGTTTCCAAATTATGCATTTGGGTTTAAAAAGCCCTACAACTTAACTAAGACTATGACCCTGAAAAGTTACTTAATTTCTCTGCATTGCAGACTTAAAATTAAGCCAACAAGTACAAATACCTTCCCATAAGGAAGTTCTTTAGATTACTACAGGATGTTCACATTAGTTAGTATCAATAAACTATTCTGAAAGTATTTACTGTACATCCACACTGGGGTTGACAATTTTTATTCATCCTTTCAACCGGCCATGAAATATTAATCAAGCTATTTCTAAGCTAGGCTCTGGAGCACTGTGCAAGGTATAGGGGGTACAACACATGAAAACAGGAACCTTAACCTTCCAAAGGCTCACTCATAGTCTACTAGGCAGTAGGTGTACACTATGTATCATATTTTTATCTAGGAACAGAAAAAGTGTGCTGAATAAAGTGAATTTCAAGTCAGCTATAGTTTGGGCAATATAACCCTGAAATGGCTAGACAGGTAAGCCATATATCATATACTTAAGATAAATGAACAAATAACATTGACTAGTAATGTTTAAGCCAGTATGGATCAAGAAGCATCTAAGTTCAAAACAGAGCCAAGTAAATAAGAAATTTAAAAGCAGAGTATAAAAGAATTCATTTGTTCCCCTTTCAATTAAAATAAATGGGATTTCTGAATCTATTTAAAGAAAGAGAAAGGGTTAATCTTTTAGAATTAAACTTCTTACAGCTTGGGTGGGGCTCACCTGGGATTGGTTTACATTTTGTTATGTAAATTCCAGATAGCATTGTTTTATTTTTCTCCTCTAATTAGGCAGTTATGACTGGTATATGCACATCCCTACTGATAAAATATTTTAGTCAGGAATGAGCATTACAACAGGGAACTAGCACAGCCTAGAGTGGGGAGGAGAAAGTAATTGGTGCTTTCTTAATTACAAAAATGAGTGAAAAATACAGTAATGTACAAGAAACTCTGTGGGAAGATAGTGTTGATAGTAATACAAAACGCTGGATGTAATCAAAAAGGTTACTGATGTGATGTTTATGTTTAGAGCTATACTTAAAACCATAATCAAAATTCCTACAAGAAAATTAATACTCTGAAATATTTATTTCTGACAACTATAAAATGTAATCATTACTTAATAATAAAGCAAACTTACCAGATTTTTACCATCTTGCTTATGGATAGTTACAACTCTGCTTTCATTTGAGCCTTCTTGGTTTGCTTGCTTAATACTGACATCAATAATATTAGGAAAATCACAATATAACTGTAAATCCTGTAATTAAGAGCATTTGAAATTAAAAACAGGTATGGATGCATATTAAAACAAGACTTAAGACATTCACACCAAATTCCTTAAAATAAAAAAGGTATTGATAACATTAAATAAGCATTAGATTTCCTCTCCCAAAAATCTAGCCCAAGACCATACTATATCTTGCTTTGACTTTGTAAAACTGAGAGCATTAAATGATGTCAGGAACCTAAAGTGTGCTCTTGCACTCTTCAGTCCAATTAACATTACTAGGAAACATTGCCAGAAAAGTAGAAACTTAACTACCAAAGATAATAAAAATAAAACTGTCCTTCTAAATCTCTAATAACAATCTAAGAACAACACAGATATGAACAAATCTAAAACTTGCAATGTAAACCTTAAAAAAACTAAATTAATTATTTAATAGGTATATCTTATCATAAAACCAATAAAATTAATCTTCTCCATTTAATTAGTTTTATTATTGTGCCTCCTATTATCAATAATAGTGAAAGAAAAAAGAAGGAAGAAGTATATTAAAATATCACTTTTAGAATTTGGCCCCTCTCTGAAGTTATAAGAAGGTCATTACTTATCAATCTGTCATAAAAATTAAATAAACCATTTAAGAACAGTGAAAGAAGAACTATATGACCTTGATGGTTTCACACTATCACAAATTCCCACTTCTATCAAATGGGAAGTACAAGACCATGTTTTAAATGACTAAAATTATTTTGTTTCTACTGCCATTCTACTTAAAATAACAAAGAATGAGAACATATCATTAAGGATTACCTGTTCTGTCAGTGTCTCACTTTCTTTATGTTTCCCTCTTGACCACTGAATTCCACCGTTTCCAGTTATTATAATGGTTGCAAAAATCTCCTCACCTGAAGGACCTCTTCCAGGTTCTTTTACTTCAAATTGCTCTGTGTAGAAGGCAGACTGAAGAGTTTCCAGATTTATAAGATACTTAAGTTTCAAGTTTCTGGCAGTGGCTTTGCATTGGCTGAATTGCTGAATAAATCTGCGAAATCTGTACCTTATTCGCTTCCTTGTTAAAATATGATAGTCTTGGATCTTTGCTCGTATACATTTTGGTAAGAATGTCTTGTAGCTAGGGATAAATGGCATATACAGAAAAAGAAAACAAAACAAAAATTGGAAGATATATCTATAACAAAATTTCAAGAGAAGTTACCACTTTTTTCCATGATAAATAGGTGCTACAACACAGTAGTCAAGGGGAATAAGTTGACATAACCACCACACAGTATAAAACTTTAAGGTTTCATTTGATATGAACACATCCATACGCTCCCTTGAATAATCATAAATGTTTAGAATAGATGATAATTTTCTTCCTTAATGAAATGAATCCTCCATCTAGTTAATAATGAATCTCTAAACATTCATTTTCTTTGATTATTTTATATACCAGAGATAATGGTTTACAAAATATTTATGACACCATTGCACTGTGCTACAAATATTTTCTTTGATGTCATACTCCAAAATTTATCTGAATTCTATAAATTCATACATTTTCTTAGATGCTGTTGTTCATTATGCAAACATACTTCTTTTGTATATATTATTTTGTTAGGCCAGCTTCAACAACTTTCAATAATTCCTTTGTGGCCAAAACAATTGTATTTGGAAATGTTCTCATTCTTTTGTACATTCATCTCTACGTACAACATCCTAAAGAAGGTAGATAATTCCTTTGCTTCTAAAGAACATTTTATTTCTGAAGCACAGCTAAACAAATTTCCCGTGCCTTAACATGTGCTAATCTTTCTTCCTGTCACCCATCTCCTGTCTAGTTAGCTCTTACTCATTCATATAAAGCTCAGCTCAAGCATCATCAAATCCAGAAAACCTTTCTGGACTCCATTGAATGACATATTCAATGTTCCTCCCTTTGTTCTCACAGTATTCTGTGTACCGCTCCCTAGTATCACTTACTCCGCTATGCTGCACTTGTTTAGTTACCGCCAGTGGTGTTCTGGAGCTGGCTTCGGTTGAGAGCCTATTATATTTTAAGGATTTTTTTGAGCTGATTGCTAAACAGCCATCATTAAAATTTAAGTTATATAAACTGATAATTAAATAAATTATATTAAAAATATAGGTAATAAATACTCAAACTCACTTCCTAATTATTTTACAATTTTAATTTTGTTTTACATAGTACCTGTACCTTTGAGCTTATTCATATCTATTTTATGTGAGTGGCGAAAAAGGTCAGCTGCTACATATCTCCTCCCAATTCTGCATTCAGGGACTTCAGGCTGATACCGTGAAATTGGCCATGGAGTATTAATACTATGGATATCAGCAAACATCACTTTTACAGCATTTCTCTGATCAACTAATTTTCCCAGGTTCCACAACTATTTCAAAACTTCAATCTCCTCAAAATTCCTACCTTTTTTCTGCCTCAAATCTCAACTACATTCCTCCTCACTTACAACAAATGTCTTCATCTCCTTCCTAAGGGGTAAAAATATAAAAAGCTCCTCTAATCAGAGTTGCCTCAATATCTTGCTAGCAAACCTATATATATCTGCACTCATTCTTTCCTCCTTCCCACCTATTACAATAAATGAGGTATAAACTTCCTAGCTAAAGCCATTTATTTAACATATATTTACCTTTACCCTCGCTCCCTTCCCCTAATCCTCATATACCCCCTCAGTACTTTTACTCTGTATGTATTTCTATATCCACGTTTCAAAAATACAATCATTTCTCAGTACCCATGGGGAATTGGTTCCAGGACCCCCAGAGGACACCAAAATTCCATGGATGCTCAAGTCCCTTACATACAATGCATAATATTTGTATATAACCTACACACAACCTTCTATATACTTTAAATCATCTCTAGATTACTTATAATACCTAATACAATGCCTATACATCACTTCATTTGTGTGGACACAACATAGTATTCAGCACTAAGCAAATTCAAGTTTTGATTTTGGAACTTTGTGAAATTTTTTTTCCCTAATAGTTTTCATCTACAGTTGGTTGAATCCACAGATGTGGAATCCATGGACAGGAAGCGATGACTGTACTAATGTCCTTCCCATCTGACATGTAAATTCTTTTTCTTCTTTTTATTCCATATTCCCCTCCAAATACAGCCTATTTGGTCTCTTTTTGAAAGAGTTTATACAGTTATTTCTATCTTTTTGCCTTCCATTTATTGCTCAATTCATCCCAATGTGGCTTCTGTTCCATCATTCCAAGAGAAACGGCTCTTGCTAAAATCAAGGAAGACTTCCCTGTTGCTAAAACCACATTTTCACATAAGAAACAAAAGAAAAAACAGGCAAGTTAGACTACTTCAAATTAAAACTTCTGTGCTGCAAATGATACCTTCAAGGAAGTAAAAAAAGCAACTGTTCATACTAGTATTCACAATAGCCAAAAAGTGAAAACAACTAAAGTTTCCATCAAGCGATGAATAGATAAGCAAAATGTGGTATATCCATGAAATAGAATATGATTCAGCAATAAAAAGAAGTGAAGTACTGATACATACTACAACATGGATGAACCTTGAAAACACCATGCTAAGCAAAAGAAGCCAGACAGAAAATGCTACCACATAATGCATGATTCCATTTATATGAAATTTCAAGAATAGGCAAATCCATAGAAACAAAAAGATTAGTGGTTTCCTGAGGCTAGGGGAAGAGGGAATGAAGATTGAATGCTAAGGGGTATGGGGTTTCTTTCAAGAACCATGAAAATGTTCTAAAATTAGATTGTGAATATCTTTATACAACCTTGTAAATATACTAAAATACATATTGCACACTTTAAATGGGTGAATTTTATGGTATGTGCATTGTAACTCAATAAGCTGTTTTAAAATATCATAGAATCTTATAATGAATGTTTACCACCTACACAATTTTAAAAGTAAAGCTAAGAGAAAGAATGATGTAGAATTTCGCAGATGTGTTTATATACTGGTTAAGAGCATAGGTTAAGAGAACCAGAGAAATACAATTACTATCCATTCATTAGAATGGAATAAGTAATGCAGGGAGAATAATAATAGATGACACTATTCCTAACCTCAAAGAAACCACAATCTACATAAAAAGATTGTTCCAGGACTTTGGACAACATCATAATCTCTAAAGCAGAAGTACTGCATCATAGCATGAGTCTAGAAACAGCTTCATATGCATAACATTCATCTTCAGTGGCTTAAAGCTGTTCTTTAACTCTGTTCCCTTCAATTCCTTCAGTTTCTGTTAACAACATCTAAAATACTCTTCCTCCAATTCTGTTCTATGGCCTGGCATGCAGCAAGCATTCAAAAAATAGCTGTTGAATGAATGAAAGAATGAATAAGCTAATATCCAAGAAGTATCTGTCTACATTTTAATAAAAATGAAGGCCTTAGTGGAAAATAGAAATGTTTTTGTTTTTCCTTTAGACTTGGGAATCTTCTAGAGTCTTGAGTGCATTCTTAAAATCATACCCTACAGCCTTGGGTTAAGGCCTAACAGACATCTGCAAACAAAACAAAAATATTTAAAACTAAAAAGAAAAATATAGACATTGATACTCTTAAGGATTTTTTTGAGCTGATTGCTAAACAGCCATCATTAAAATTTAAGTTATATAAACTGATAATTAAATAAATTATATTAAAAATATAGGTAATAAATACTCAAACTCACTTCCTAATTATTTTACAATTTTAATTTTGTTTTACATAGTACCTGTACCTTTGAGCTTATTCATATCTATTTTATGTGAGTGGCGAAAAAGGTCAGCTGCTACATATCTCCTCCCAATTCTGCATTCAGGGACTTCAGGCTGATACCGTGAAATTGGCCATGGAGTATTAATACTATGGATATCAGCAAACATCACTTTTACAGCATTTCTCTGATCAACTAATTTTCCCAGGTTCCACAACTATTTCAAAACTTCAATCTCCTCAAAATTCCTACCTTTTTTCTGCCTCAAATCTCAACTACATTCCTCCTCACTTACAACAAATGTCTTCATCTCCTTCCTAAGGGGTAAAAATATAAAAAGCTCCTCTAATCAGAGTTGCCTCAATATCTTGCTAGCAAACCTATATATATCTGCACTCATTCTTTCCTCCTTCCCACCTATTACAATAAATGAGGTATAAACTTCCTAGCTAAAGCCATTTATTTAACATATATTTACCTTTACCCTCGCTCCCTTCCCCTAATCCTCATATACCCCCTCAGTACTTTTACTCTGTATGTATTTCTATATCCACGTTTCAAAAATACAATCATTTCTCAGTACCCATGGGGAATTGGTTCCAGGACCCCCAGAGGACACCAAAATTCCATGGATGCTCAAGTCCCTTACATACAATGCATAATATTTGTATATAACCTACACACAACCTTCTATATACTTTAAATCATCTCTAGATTACTTATAATACCTAATACAATGCCTATACATCACTTCATTTGTGTGGACACAACATAGTATTCAGCACTAAGCAAATTCAAGTTTTGATTTTGGAACTTTGTGAAATTTTTTTTCCCTAATAGTTTTCATCTACAGTTGGTTGAATCCACAGATGTGGAATCCATGGACAGGAAGCGATGACTGTACTAATGTCCTTCCCATCTGACATGTAAATTCTTTTTCTTCTTTTTATTCCATATTCCCCTCCAAATACAGCCTATTTGGTCTCTTTTTGAAAGAGTTTATACAGTTATTTCTATCTTTTTGCCTTCCATTTATTGCTCAATTCATCCCAATGTGGCTTCTGTTCCATCATTCCAAGAGAAACGGCTCTTGCTAAAATCAAGGAAGACTTCCCTGTTGCTAAAACCACATTTTCACATAAGAAACAAAAGAAAAAACAGGCAAGTTAGACTACTTCAAATTAAAACTTCTGTGCTGCAAATGATACCTTCAAGGAAGTAAAAAAAGCAACTGTTCATACTAGTATTCACAATAGCCAAAAAGTGAAAACAACTAAAGTTTCCATCAAGCGATGAATAGATAAGCAAAATGTGGTATATCCATGAAATAGAATATGATTCAGCAATAAAAAGAAGTGAAGTACTGATACATACTACAACATGGATGAACCTTGAAAACACCATGCTAAGCAAAAGAAGCCAGACAGAAAATGCTACCACATAATGCATGATTCCATTTATATGAAATTTCAAGAATAGGCAAATCCATAGAAACAAAAAGATTAGTGGTTTCCTGAGGCTAGGGGAAGAGGGAATGAAGATTGAATGCTAAGGGGTATGGGGTTTCTTTCAAGAACCATGAAAATGTTCTAAAATTAGATTGTGAATATCTTTATACAACCTTGTAAATATACTAAAATACATATTGCACACTTTAAATGGGTGAATTTTATGGTATGTGCACTGTAACTCAATAAGCTGTTTTAAAATATCATAGAATCTTATAATGAATGTTTACCACCTACACAATTTTAAAAGTAAAGCTAAGAGAAAGAATGATGTAGAATTTCGCAGATGTGTTTATATACTGGTTAAGAGCATAGGTTAAGAGAACCAGAGAAATACAATTACTATCCATTCATTAGAATGGAATAAGTAATGCAGGGAGAATAATAATAGATGACACTATTCCTAACCTCAAAGAAACCACAATCTACATAAAAAGATTGTTCCAGGACTTTGGACAACATCATAATCTCTAAAGCAGAAGTACTGCATCATAGCATGAGTCTAGAAACAGCTTCATATGCATAACATTCATCTTCAGTGGCTTAAAGCTGTTCTTTAACTCTGTTCCCTTCAATTCCTTCAGTTTCTGTTAACAACATCTAAAATACTCTTCCTCCAATTCTGTTCTATGGCCTGGCATGCAGCAAGCATTCAAAAAATAGCTGTTGAATGAATGAAAGAATGAATAAGCTAATATCCAAGAAGTATCTGTCTACATTTTAATAAAAATGAAGGCCTTAGTGGAAAATTGAAATGTTTTTGTTTTTCCTTTAGACTTGGGAATCTTCTAGAGTCTTGAGTGCATTCTTAAAATCATACCCTACAGCCTTGGGTTAAGGCCTAACAGACATCTGCAAACAAAACAAAAATATTTAAAACTAAAAAGAAAAATATAGACATTGATACTCTACAAATTAGGTATGGAACTGTTGTGAAGGCATTCAGGAAAGGAGTGACTAAAGCCAGTTATTGGGAGGACAATTTCAAAAAAGAAAGGGAGTTTTAGTATGTTCATGACATCCTGACACATTTAATTTGGTAAGTATGTAATATATAAAATACATATTTAGCCTTCAAACTTAAAAAAAAGCAAAGCATTCTTATAGTTATATATACCCTAAAAACAGTAGAAATTTTATAGCCATTAACCTGGGATGTAGGAGTAGTGTTTCAAAAAACTGTATTAGTCATGGTTGCCAAAATTCAATATACAGAAGAGTAATTTGAAGAATGCAGAGATTGGATCACTTGTGTAAGAATCCCCTGCAGCACTTGCAAAAATTCATATTTGTGGGCTTGACCTCAAATTTACTGAATCCAAATCTCTTGGGTTAGGGCCCAGGAATCTCTGATTTTAATAGACACGCCAGGTTAGTCTAATGTGAGTAAAATACAGACCACAGGCTCGGTGGTTCACGACTATAATCCTAGCACTCTAGGAGGCTGAGGCGGGAGGATCGCTTGAGGTCAGGAGTTCAAGACCAGCCTGAGTAAGAGTGAGACTCCATCTCTACTAAAAATAGAAAAAAATTAGCTGGGCATGGTGGCATGTGCCTGTAGTCCCAGCTACTCAGGAGGCGGAGGCAGGAGGATCGCCTGAGCCCAGGAATATGAGGTTGCTGTGAGCTAGGATGATGCCACGGTACTCCAACCGGGGCAACAGAGGGAGACTCTGTCCCAAATAAATAAAAATAAAATACAGACCACCATTCAAGAAATACTGATACAGTTCATCTATATAGCCAATTTGAAGATCTATCAGAAGCTGTCCCTCCAGGTGTTCTTTCCATTCCTCTGAACTTACCTAGCCTTTTTAGAATAAATGAATCAAATAATAGATATCAAACACCTATGATATTTTCTGCAGTACAACTCTTTCAATAATTTCATCTTACAGTATATGTTATACACAACAAAGAAAAGTTACTCATGTGATTTTTTATTACAGGTTGAGCATCCTAATCCAAAAATCGAAAATCTGAAATGCTCCAAAATCCGAAACTTCTTGAGTGCTGATACGACATTCAAAGGAAATGCTCATTGGAGCATTTAGGATTTTGGATTAGGGACACTTAACTGGTAAGTATAATGCAAATATTCCAAAATCCGAAAAAATTTAAAATCCAAAACACTTCTGGTCCCAAGCATTTCGCATAAAGGCAGATAAAGGGTACTCAACCAGTATTATAAAATCAAAAGGTGTGGGCAAACACAGAAAATATGCATAAATTATATAAAATCTTTACCTATTCACACTTATGTGTATGGATCTACAAAAAGAAATTACCTGATAGAGTTATAAATGGCCAGTGGAGTTTGATCCTTTTCTTTGGCTATTCTCATCATGTCTAACACCGCCATCCCAAGACATTCTTCCTGTGTTTCATGAGTCACAGGTACTTTTATCCAACCATGCACAAAATCATGTCGCCACTAAAGGAAACAAAAATTTAGAAGGAAATATCTCATCATAAATTTCACTATCACATTTTATCTACTATTTTAACCTATAATGTAATTTTCAGAACATAGGCACTTAAAAGGCATAAACTCCTCCCTTGATTTTCAATAATTTTTCAATAAAATTTTAGTAAAAGTTCACTTGAAAATGGAAACTGATTTAAACTGGGTTCCCAATTATAGAGTACATAATCAACCTATTTCACTGCATATATCTTCAAATTATATCTTCTACATAAAAATTACCTAAATTAAAATAGATATTATTTAAATAAAAATGTACTGAGTTCCACTTACGCTGGAAGCATTATACTATGAATTGTGTTTGATACGAAGAAACAGTCATATACCACATAACGGCATTTTGTTTAATGACAGACCATATATACAATGATGGTCCCATAAGACTGTAATATTGCATTTTTACTGTACTTTTTCTATGTTTAGATATACAAATGCTTACCATTGTGTTACAAGTGCCTAGAGTATTCAGCACAACATGTTGTAAGGTTTGTGAGATAGGAAAATAGGCTACCCCATATAGCCTAGTTGTGTAATAGGCTATACTATTTACTTTCGTATAAGTACATACTATGATGTTCACACAATGACAAAATTACCTAGCAACGCATTTCCCAGAACACATCCTCACCACTAAAAGATGCATGACTGTATATGACATGGTCTCAGCCATCAAGGGGACTATATCCAGCTTGGAAGCTGAACGTGTAAACAAATAACTATAATGTCAGATACTGTATAGGAAGTACCACACAGTAGCTGCCTCAGGAACTTAGAGAAAGTTGAGATTACATAAGCTGGAGTAATCAGGGAAGGTTTCATGGATGATCTGAAATTTCATGCAGTCTTTAAAGATAAAGACATTTTTGATGGACACAAAAACATTCCTTACAAAATAGAAAGAATGACACAAAAACAAAGCACAAGGCATGTTCAGATATGTAAACTATTAGGTTATTAAGTATAAAATGTCTAATTTCCTTAAGCACTAAGTTTGACAATTGGTATCTTGGACACTTCACTTTGACATGTCTTGTTTTATTTTTATTGTGAAGGTACATCGTCAGTCTTTCAAATGCATGGTTTGGCTTGTGATTATCTTTCAAATATTTTTTAGAGCAATTTTTGTAAAACCGTGGATAAGTTCATGTTATTTTCGAATATGAGTTCCGTCACGGAACCAATGCTGCACAGATAGCTCAAAATATCATCAAAGTGTTTGGGAAGGATATGGCTAATGAATGCATAGTACATCAATGGTTTGAGAAGTTCTGTTCTGGTGATTTTAATCTTAAAAATGAGCCACATGAGCGACCTGAGACCAAGGTGGATAATGTTGAGCTGAAAGCTGTAGTGGAACAGAATCCATCTCAGCCTACATGCGAATTAGCAGCAAGGTTTGGCATTACTATTCCAACAATATTGGATCATTTGAAACAAATGAGCAAGGTAAGATAAATAAGTGGATGGCTACCACATGAATTAAACGAGTATCAGAAGAGAAATCGTCTCAAAGCTCGTCTTTCTTTGCTGTCAACACAAAAGCCAACCATTTCGATACCACATTGTTATGTGTGATGAAAAATGGATTCTTTTTGACAATCACAAGCATTCAGCACAATGGTTGGATGAAGATGAAGTGCCAAAACACAATCCAAAACTGAATATTCATCAAAAAAGACAAACTGGGAGGTATCAGTCTACCAGACTTCAAGCTGTACTATAGGCTATAGTAACTAAAACAGCATGGTACTGGCACAAGAACAGAGATTTTGACCTCTGGAACAGGACTGAGAATCCAGAGATGAAACCATCCGCATATGGTAATCTAATCTTTGACAAAGCTGAAAAAAATATACACTGGGAAAAATAATCTCTCTTCAATAAATGGTGCTGGGAAAACTGGATAGCTACATGTAGAAAAATGAAACTGGATCCCCACTTCTCACCTCTCACAAAAATCAATTCAAGATGGATAACAGACTTAAACCTAAGGCACGAAACCTTAAGAATTCTAAAAGAAGATGTTGGGAAGACCCTTTCAGACATCAGCCTAGGCAAGGAATTCTTGAAGAAAAACCTCAAAGCAATCACCGCAGCAACAAAAATAAATAAATGGGATCTGATCAAATTAAAAAGCTTCTGCACTGCCAAGGAAACTATCATTAGAATGAATAGACAGCCTACAGAATGGGAGAAAATATTTGCTCTCTACACATCTGATAAAGGGCTGATAACCAGAATCTATTTAGAACTCAAAAAAATCAACAAGAAAAAATCAACAACCCCATCAACAAATGGGCAAAGGAAATGAACAGAAACTTTTCAAAAGAAGACAGAATAATGGCCAGCAAACATATAAAAAAATGCTCAACATCTCTAATCATTAGAGAAATACAAATCAAAACCACAATGAGATATCACCTAACCCCAGTGACATTGGCCTCTATCAAAAAATCCCAAAAAAACAAATGCTGGCGAGTATGTCGAGAGACAGGCACACTCTTACACTACTGGTGGGACTGCAAATTAGTGCAACCTCTGTGGAAAAGAATTTGGAGATACCGCAAAGAGCTAAAAATAGAAATACCATTCAATCCAGCAATAGCACTATTAGGCATCTACCCAAAAGAGCATAAAATATTCTATGATAAAGACATCTGCACCCGAATGTTTATGGCAGCATAATTCACTATTGCAAGGATGTGGAAACAACCCAAGTGCCCGTCAATCCATGAGTGGATTATTAAAATTAGGTATATGTATACAATGGAATATTATTCAATCATAAGAAACGACAGTGATCTAGAACCTCTTATATTTCCCTGGATTAAACTTAAGCCCATTATCCAAAGTGAGGTACCACAAGATCGGAAGAATGGGCTCCACTTGTACTCGCCATTGAATTGGTACTAACTGATCAACACTACAGTGATCACATGGCAGTAATACTCTCCAGGGATTAGGGGGATGGGGGAGGTAAACCCGCAACGTAAAGGACATGGAGAGCATTGTAGGGGGGAAGGGCATGCCTCTAACCCTTGCTTGGGTGAGGCAAAGACATAAAGTGTAACCTTAATGTTTGTACCCTCATAATACCCTGAAATTAAAAAAAATTGTTAATGGTGTCTGTTTGGTGGTCTAGCGCTGGTATTATCCACTACAGCTTCATGAAACCTGGTCAATGCATTACAATGGATGTCTACTGCACCCAACTGGACAAAATGATGAGGATGCTTGTGATTAAGCAGCCAAGATTGGTCAACAGAGACAGGCCAGTCCTCCTGCGAGACAACACTCAACCACATGTCGCACAAACCACACTGCTCAAACTACAGAGGCTGGACTTGGAAACTCTCTGTCATTCACCACATTCACCAGACCTTGTCCCAACTACTACTTCTTCCAGGCTTTGGACCACTTCTTGCAAGGAAAAATATTCAATTCTCAACAAGCTGTGGAAAATGCCTTTGTATTGCTACTCACTCTTTAGGTTTCTTTGCTGCTGCCATAAACAAGCTACAGTTAAGATGGCAAAACTATGTCGATAGTTTTGGTGCACACTTTGATTAACTGCACTGCTTCTTGTTTGAGGTATAACAAACTAAACTTTTGATTCAAAATCGGACATTACATATTTAACGACATAATAGTTTGGTTGGAGCCAACAGTTTATGTAAGGGACTGTTTATGTAAGGGAATAGTGTAGATTAAAATTTGGAAAAGTAAGTTGAAGTTGGACTGCAGGTATCCTTAAATGATTTGATCCTAACACAATACAAATCCATTTTCTTAAAGCATCAGTTTGTTTTTTTGCTGTCTGTCCTAGTTTTTCCTAAAAGCATCAGTTTCATCAAACCTCTTCCAATGGTAGAATAGTAGCAATGACGGAAGTGCTTGAAAAAAATGAAGTGTATTCAGGGAGACTCTTTAAGAGGCTGATATATGGCTCACGTATGAAATAATAAAGATCTGATATAGGAAACAGAAGACACTAAAAGAGTCTGGAAACAGTTGATAACTTTATTAACTATATACTGTATACAGAATGAAGAAAAGAGAAAAACAGAGGTTTCAAGATTTTTAGCAGGATGATTTAGGGATATGGGTGAAATCAGATTGAACATGTAACAGGAGAAAGGAGAGAAAGCAAAAGGTATGGATATTCTAAACGTAACACCAATTTTCTTTGTGAGAAAAAGGTAAGAGCCATATTACCTAAAAACCAACATTTAATCAAGGTTTTGAAGTGGGCACAAGAAATATAGGGCATATTTTATGCTGTGTGTATTTCCTTTCTTTTGATGTTATAACTTGTCT